GGGGAGCTGCTCTGGCTAGGCTGAAGCCCCCCTCCCAGTAATCATGCAGGTGAGGGGCTGCTTATTGGGTAAGCAGTTAACCCTTTACCTCTCTTGGTAGCAGCCTTTAACTCCCTGCGGGGGGCGGGGGGCAGCTCCTTGCTCTGCCACTTGAGACCATGGCAGTGGGGGGATCTAGGGGAGGGGAGGCACCAGGACTCAGGGTCAGAGCAGGGGAGCTCTGTGGCATTTCTCAAACTTACCCAGCAGCAGCCAGCGCTGGTGCTGTCGGACAGAGCCCCCCCGCCCCTGGTGTGGGCGTGTCTATCGCTCTGCTCCCAGCTAGAGTTCCTTGTAAGCTCAGAGCCCCCCGCCGGGGCGTGTCCCTCCTGGTGGGCACCTGCACATGCTTCGGTGACTAGAAGGGCCATTGGTCTCAGCACCTGCCAGGGCTGGTGGTACCGTGTGGCCCCTGCAAAGCGTGTGGAACGGCCTAGACGTGTGTGAAAGCGTGCTGGCTCAGCGCTGTGACTGGCCTCTGCAGGGCAACGCGGTCGTTTCTCTCGCCCTTGGGCAGTTGGAAAATGCCCAACCTGCCCTGGCTAGAGCCCTTATCTTAGCTGGGGGGGGCTAGATACGCTTGGGGGCAGGGATTGGGCCCAGAGTGACCGGGAGAGATTAGAGGATTGGGCCACAAGAAATCTGATGAGGTTCAACAAGGACAAGTGCAGAGTCCTGCCCTTGGGATGGAAGAATCCCAGGCATTGGTACAGGCTGGGGACAGACTGGCTAAGCAGCAGTTGAGCAGGAAAGGAGCTGGGGATTCCGGTGGATGAGAAGCTGGAGCTGAGTCACAGGGCGCCCTGGTAGCCAAGACGGCTAATGGCACATTAAGGTGCAATAGGCGGAGCATTGCCAGGCCGTCCAGAGCAGTGATTATTCCCCTTTAGTCAGCTCTGGTGAGGCCACATCTGGAGTATTGGTCTGGTTCTGGGATCCCCACTCTAGGAAGGATGTGGACACACTGGAGAGGGCCCAGTGGAGGGCAACCAAAATGAGGGAGCTGGAGCATATGACCTACGAGGAGAGGCGGAGGGACTTGGGTCTGTTTAGTCTGCAGAAGCGAAGAGCGAGGGGGGATTTGAGAGCAGCCTTCAACTTCCTGAAGGGAGGTTCCAAAAAGGCTGGAGAAAGGCTGTTCAAAGTAATGATGGATGGCAGAACAAGGAGCAATGGTCTCAAGTTGTGGTGAGAGAGGTCCAGGTTGGATATTAGGAAAAACTATTTCCCTAGGGCTACGTCTACACTGGCATGACTTTCTGGAAATGCATTTAACAGAAAAGTTTTCCGTTAAAAGCATTTTTGGAAAAGTGCGTCTAGATTAGCCACAGACGCTTTTCTGCAAAAGAGCCCAGATCGCCATTTTCACAATCGGGGCTTTTTTGCGGAAAACAAATCTCTGCTGTCTACACTGGCCCTTTTGCGCAAAAGCTTTTCGGAAAAAGACTTTTGCCCGAACGGGAGCAGCATAGTATTTCCTCAAAAGCACTGACAATCTTACTTGAGATCGTCAGTGCTTTTGCGGAAATTCAAGCGGCCAGTGTAGACAGCTGGCAAGTTTTTCCGGAAAAAGTGGCCAGTCTAGACACAGCCTAGGCGGGTGGGGAAGCGCTGGGCTGGGTTCCCTAGGGCGGGGGTGGAATCTCCATCCCTAGCCGTGTTTTAGTCCCAGCTTGACCAAGCCCTGGCTGGGTTGGTTGAGTTGGGCTGGTTCTGCTTTGGGCAGGGAGCTAGACTCAGTGACTCCTGAGGTCTCTGCCAGCCCTGGGCATCTATGGCGTGTATTGAGAGTTACAGGCGTGTGCGGCAGTCACATTGAGCCAGGGCCTGCGGGCTGGTCGCCAGGTCTGCCCCTGGACAAAGGAATGTGTGAGAGTCCCTGGGCTTCAGGCTACAGCAGTGAGTGTCCATTTGTACAGAGTAGGAACACAACTGTTGAGCTGCCCTGTGGGGGAAGGAAGAGCACAGAGCTTCCTCATCCCCTGCCTCACGGCCCCACCCCCTCCTGTCCCTGAGGGAGGGCCTTGGGAATGCCCTGTGCTAAGACGGGACCTGGGATCAGCTGGCCAAATGTGGCGTCCCCACAAGAGGAGCATTTCAAGTGAGGGCTGTTCCGGGAGCCAGGTTTGCAGAACACCTAGAGCCCTCCCCTGTCTGCATGAGGCTCTGAGTTTGTGAGACAGGGTGTGAAATCCCGTTGTATCAGTTACCACTTAAAGGGGTTGGCGAGGGCTGCTCCGGTCCGGTAAAGGTGATGCTTCCTGGTTAACCTGTTATCCAGACACATCCCGGCTACGTCTAGACTGGCATGATTTTCTGAAAATGCTTTTAACGGCAAAGTTTCCCATTAAAAGCATTTGCGGAAAAGAGCATCTAGATTGGCACGGACGCTTTTCCACAAAAGCACTTTTTGCAGAAAAGCGTCCATGCCAATCTAGACACGGTTTTGTGCAAAAAAAGCCCCGATCTCCATTTTCGCCATCGGGGCTTTTTTGCGCAAAACAATCTGAGCTGTCGACACTGCCCTTTTACGCAAAAGCTTTGCGCAAACGTACTTTTGCCTGAACGGGAGCAGCATAGTATTTCCAGAAAAGTGGCTGATTTCTTACAGTAGATCGTCAGTGCTTTTCCGGAAATTCAAGGGGCCAGTGTAGACAGCTGGCAAGTTTTTCTGCAAAAGCAGTTGCTTTTGCGGGAAAACTTGCCAGTCTAGACACAGCCCCCTAGTCTGGGGTACAGGCTCTGGGATGGAGTTTGGGGCAGGAGGGAAAGGCAATATGGGGGGAGGAGTGGAGTGGATGGGGGAGTTTAGGGCTGGAGGGAAAGGGGATGTGAGGGAAGGGGATGGGTGGAGGGAAAGGGGAGGGGAGGGGCACAGTGCTCTGGCAGCAAGGGGAGCCAAGGGTTCTCCATGTGCGGCTGCCTGCTGGCCCCGGGCACTTGGGCTGTGTCTACACTGGCCACTTATTCTGGAAAATCAGCTGTTTTTCCAGAATAACTTGCCAGCTGTCTACACTGGCCCCTTGAATTTCCGGAAAAGCACTGACGATCTACTGTAAGAAATCAGCCACTTTTCTGGAAATACTATGCTGCTCCCGTTCGGGCAAAAGTCCTTTTTCCAGAAAACTGTTCCGGAAAAGGGCCAGTAGACACAGCACAGTAGTGTTTTCTGCAAAAAGCCCCAATCACGAAAATGCCGATCGGGGCTTTTTTGCGGAAAAGCGCGTCTAGATTGGCCACGGACACTTTTCTGGAAAGTGCTTTTGCGGAAAAACATCCTGCCAATGTAGACGCGCTTTTTCCGGAAATACTTATAACGGAAAACTGTTCCATTTGAAGCATTTCCAGAAAAGAGTGCCAGTGTAGACGTAGTCTTGGCGCAGGTGCAGGGCTGCAGGGACGTGCTGGCGCCCAGCAGAGCAGGCGGGTAGGAAGGTGCTCGAGCCCCGCTGTGCTGTTGGGGGTGGCTGGCCAGGGCGGACCTGGCCCCAAACTGTGCTGGAGCAGGGCCCCCGAGCCAGGAATATTCCTGGTGCCTGAGCCCATAACTTGCTGCCCCGGCTGTGTTTGAAATCTGTGCCGGGCCAGGGAGAAGGGGGGCAGCTCCGGTCTCCTAACAAGGGCAGCTCCGTCTGCACGCAGGGGTGGCCAGCACACGGCGTAGGAAGTGGCTTTGGAAACCAAGCCACTGAGGACAGAGGCAGGCTCTGGCGTGGCACTGGAGGGCCAGGAGCAGAGCCGGGCCCTCCAGCCAGGCGGGGAGCTCAGGCTGTCTAGACTGCAAAGAGAAGGCAGGGAAAGACACAAATTGTGATGTGCGGCATGCGCACCCTTTCCCGCTTGTCTTTCAGAAGAGCCTTTCCCCAATGTGGCCTGTTTACAGAGTCACATTTTGGAAAAATCTCCTTGCAAGACGCTGAGGATTGCAGAGGGCGAAAACACGCCCGCTTTTTCGGAAACTGTTGTGAAAACGCGGCCGGGTCCTTGGGCCGGCAGAGGTTCCGGGATACCTCTGTTACCCCCCCCAAAGCTCTGCCATGTAGACACAGCCTGGTGCACGTGGCAGACTTCGCTAGGCAAAGATCTTTTCCCCAGGAAGCCGAGAGGAACCCCCACCTTTCCTGGCTGCCATGCTCAGTGGCTAGGCAGAGAGCAGCTGCCACAAAGCCTGCAGCTGGCTGGCTGAAATTTGAGACGTGGGGTTGCGTGTGGCAAACCTTTCCGGTGCATGGCCCCCCCAGGACCCCTCAGACACGGCCCAGAGACTGGGAGCAGGAAGCGGCTGGGGCTGTGGAGTGGAGGGTGTGTTGTCGCAGCACCTCATGGGAAGCTGTTGTGTGTCCTGAGGCACAACCAAGCGCTCTTGTGGGGGAGTGGGCTGGCTGGAGGGAGCACGGGGTGTGGGTGGGTTTGCACTGGGGGTGGCTGGCAGGCCGCTGGGCACTCAAGCCGTGACCTGCCGGCTTGCTGCTGACTGTGCCTGGGCTGGCGGGGAGTTCTAGTGGCACAGGCAAGCTGCGTCTCCTGGGCTACATCTACACTGGCCCTTCTCCGGAAGGGGCATGCTAATTTTGAACTTGGGAATAGGGAAATCCGTGGGGGATTTAAATATCCCCTGCAGGATTTAAATAAACATGGCCGCCGCTTTTTTCCGGCTTGGGGAAAAGCCGGAAAAAAGCATCTAGACTGGCGCGATCCTCCGGAATAAAGCCCTTTTCCGGAGGATCTCTTATTCCTACTTAATCCCCTGCGGATTTCCCTATTCCCAAGTTCAAAATTAGCATTCCCCTTCCGAAGAAGGGGCCAGTGTAGACGTAGCCCTGGGCGCTGGGCTCAGGGGCAGGTGCGGGTGGCACAGGCCCAGGCAGACTGCATGGCCTGTGGTCCCTGGCTGCCAGGGGCGTTCCCAAGCAGGGCCGGGCATCTGCCCTCACTCACCTATCTCGAATCTGCATTTTGAATAAATCCGCTTTCTTCTGGGTCTCTATCTTCTTCACCTCCTCCGCCAGGTCGCTCCGGATCGTCTGGAAATTCGTCACTGACAAACCAAGAGCCTGGTGAAGCCCCAAGGGGCCCTGGGGCTTGTGGGGGGCGGCTCCCCCGGAGTGCTGCCCTTCTGTGGGCCATGGCTGCATAGAACACTGGGCTTTGTGCCCGTTGTGCTGTGCCCAGGGCCGTGCCTGGGCTTATTTTCAAAGCAGGGCTTGTCCCTGCAGGGCTAGCCCGTGGTACCCTCTGTTAGCAGGGGCTCTCCTGGGAGCATCACGGTGCTGGGGGCGCTGAGCCCTTGGCATCAGCCAGCTGGAACAGGTGACCAAATGACACCCCCAGTGCCTCTGGGCCCTGACCTGGGGCAACCCCGGAAGCGCTCGCTCAGTGCCTGCAGGGCCAAGGGCAAGGCAGGGCCCAGCTTTTGCTGTGCAGGGGAGCCAGCCGGGCAGCCACGAGCCCCAGGGGGCCCTGCAGCCGGGGTGGAGCACTGGGCCCTTACCCGTGATTGCCACAAAGATGTTCCTGAACATGAAGGACCCAACCAGCAGCCAGAGGATGATGTAGAGGCTGCTGATGACCTTGCTCATCTCAGGGATCTTCCAGGTGTCCTGCAGCAGGGCGTACCAGTGATCCATGGTGAAGAGGATGAACAGGGTCACCAGCGTGTTGGGGAAGTCCCTGCCGGCAGAGAGAGGGGGTGGAGGTGCTGCTTTGAGGCCTGCAGGGGCCACCTGCAGGTGGTGCGCAGGCCTGCATGCAGCAAAGAGGGGCCAGCAGCAGGCAGGTGTGGCCTGCGCCTTGTGTTCCTGCCTTATGACTTCCCTCAGCGCCTCCCCCAGCCGTTCGAGGGGAAGCCAGGCAAGGCCAGAAATCCCTGGGGCAGGAGGTGCTGTCCAGCACATGGCCCAGCACTGGGCAGCTGCTAGGCCTCCAGCACCCATGAGTACCTAGCTGTAGAGCATCAGAGTATCCCCCAGCCTGGGGCACCTGCCTCCCACCGCCCCGGGGCGGAGCAGGCGCAGCATGGGGACAGGGCCGTGGCTGCTGGGGTGAGGTACCGGAAGTACATGCTGTACTCCAGGTCTGTGCGGTCGGAGCGGCTGTAGCTCTCGAAGAAGAAGATGCCGGACACGGCGAACACGTAGAAGAAAAACAGGAAGAGCAGCAGGATGAAGATCATGGCCTGTGCCAGGGAGAAGCAGAGAGGAGGCTGGGGGCTGGATTAGACCCCGCAGTAAGGACAATATTCAGCAACTGAGGGCTGGGCGAGGAGAGATGGGCCGGGTGCAGCCAGGGGCTGGGGGGTTTAAATTCACCTCGGTGTCTGAGCGGCAGGGGCTGGGCTCTGTAACGGGCTGGTGGCATGTGCCCAGGGCCAGGCTGAGTGCTGGGAGAGTAACCTAGAGGGGGAGGGTGACGCACATGCAGCCCTCCCCCCGCCCTGCACCTGTCAAAGACCCCCCCTCACCGGCCTCCTACCTTCAAGGTCTTGGCTATTGCCAGGATAATCACCCGGACTTGGTGGAACTTGGAGAAGAGCTTCAAGGTGCGGAGGACGCGGAAGGCCCTGATGATCCGCATGGCGGCTATGCTGTTGGTTATGCCAGCCAGGCCCAGGAACTCGGGGATCACGGACTGTGAGCCAAGGGAACAGGGCAGCCAGAGGCCTGTGCTCAGGCCATGCTTCCTGTCCCTCCCCCG